AATATCAATGAAAATTTAAAATGGAATATATTAAAGAAAATATTTAAAATAATTAAAAACCAAAAGTGGTGACATGAAAATTTTTGAAGAAAATATGAAAATAACACGGCAAAGTATTTGAATGGAAATTTTTTTGCAAAACAAAAAAACAAAATCATACAACCAATCCAAAGATTTTCAAATAAAAGTAATTTTATATTTATAAAAATTTAAATAAAATATACAACAAGCAGCAGCAGCAGTTATCTCGTACACCCTGAGGATTACGCGCTAAATTCAAACCAAAAAAAATATATTTTAAAATAAAAAATACAAAGGAGAAAATTTTTATAAGAAAAAAGCAAAATATCTCAAGAGAAATTCAAAGTTCCTGTTACAAAAAAAAATTAAAAAAAAATATTGAATTAAAAATCAAATAGTACCTGATGATTTTTCCCATATATCTACAAGAAAAAAGTTTTGAAATGTCACTCAAGTTTTTAAACTAAAAAAAATTAACATCAAGAGAAAAAGCAAATCAAGTGAAATTGTGCCAACTTTTATTTTCACCAAAAAAAGAAATCCATGGAAAAAGGCGTTTTAATGTTTTGAAAAATAAAGGAAAAAAATTCAACGCCAAAATTCCTTTCAAAATAACGTTTCAAAAACAAAAAAACCAAAATAACTCACACACACAATTATAAACATGGCCGAAGAATTACCCATACTAAAGAGTATACTCAAAGGCAATGTCAACTATCACAATGCCCGTAAGTGTAATTTTGTTGTTTTTTGTTGTTGTAATTAAAGAGTTGCAAATAATGAAACCGCCAGGTACCAAAACAAACAAAAAAATGGATATTCACGTGTTTTTTTTCGCCAGACAGGTTTTTGGGTTGGTTGGTTTGTTTTTTATTTGCAGCCAATGCTGTTTTTTCTATTCGTATTTCTTTTCAAATAAAGTGAAATTGAAAAGAGAAATAGCCATAAACTAGAAATGGCATGGCATGGCTGTTTACCCAGTTTATTTCTTCTGCTGGTTAGGAAAAAAAGACTGGCTCCATTCATTAATGGTCACAATAAATTTGCTTCGATTGACGAGGATTTCAAGGCAAAATATAATATTTTTTTTTTTTTTTTTGAAAAATTTAAGTATTTTCTACCAAAAAAAAAAAAAAACGAAAAGTACTAAACAGTACTGCATTTGGTACAATTTGGTATTGGTCGAACAGATAGTGCTTAAAATTCAAAATTTGGTATTAGGGTCGCTGTTCGAGTGTAGCCTGGAGATATGTAGGTGGTTTTTGGAAATATGTACTATAATTGTACGAAAAGTACCAAATGATACTAAATTTGGTATTGGGTGAAGGGATAGAGATAAAATTGTGAAAATTGATATTTGGATTAAAGATCGTATCTGTGTTTTTGAGATTTGACGGTGGTTTGGAAATGGTACTAAATTTGGTATTGGGTGAAGGGAAAGGCCTAGAATTCTCAAATTTGATATTCAAGGCTCTGTTGATATCTGAAATTGAGATCTAGTCGATAAAGATAAAAAAATATATTTTTTTTAATATATGTATTTTTTTTTTGATTATTTTTTTTAATATTTTATAGTGTTTTAATATTTTTGTAATTTTTTATATTCTTCGAAAGTAATTAACTATAGTATTTATTATATTATATATATTTATTTTTTAATTTTCCTTTTTACAATTTTTGTATTTTTAAAAATATATATTTTTTTTGGATTTTTCATTATTTTGTTTTTTATTATTTTTGTAATTTTATTTATTTTTTTTGCTTATTTTTTAAATAGTTTTTAATTTTTTTTTTACAAATGTTTAAATAATATTTTTATTTTTTTATTAATTAATTTTATTTTTTTTATTTATTTTTAATGTTTCACAATTTTGTTAAGTTATAGAAATTATATTTTTATTTTTTTTTTATATATTTTATTTTTTTTTTTAAGTTTTTGTTTAATTTTCATATTCTTATAGTTATAGAATTTATAATTTTTTTGTACTAAAAATTAATTAATAATTTTCATTTATTCTTTTTTTCTTAAAAAAAAAAAAACAATTTTGTATGATTTTTTTTCAATTTCTTCTATTTTATTTTCTTAAAATTCAATTTTTATGTATTTTTGTTTAATTTTTATGTATTTATTTTTTTATTGAATTTTTTTAAACTTTAATATTTTTTTTCAAACTTATAAAGAAATTGTTTTATATATTTAACTTTTTTTTGAATTTTGTCTAATTTTTCATATTCTTACAGCTATAGAAATTATAATTTTTTTATTAAAAATTAATTATTTTTTTTATTTAATTTTATTGTTCTTAAAAACCAATTTTAAGTTTTTTTTATTTTTATTTTATTTTCTTAAAAACATATTTTTATGATTTTTTTTACTAATTTCCAAACATAATAAAAAATAGTTTTTTATATTCAATTTTTTTGTTTTTGCTTAATTTTTCATTTCTATATATATAGAAATTATAGTTTTATATTAAAAATTAATTATTAATTTTTATTTAATTTAGTTTTTTCAAAAAAATAGATTTTATTAAGTACTTTCCAATTTTTATTGTATTTCCTTAAAAACCAATTTTTATGATATTTTTGTTAATTTTTATAAAGTTATTTTTTAATATTTTATATATATATATATGTTTGTTATATTTTTTGTTATTTTTTTTAATTTTTATGAATTTAATATAATTTTCTTTAAACCTTAATTTTTACGAATTTTTTGGCCTATTTTTTTTAGTTTTTTTTTACTTATTTTTTTAATTTTTTCAAAAATTCAAAAAAAAAAAGCTTTTTTTACTTTTTCATAATTTTGTATAATTACCTTTAATTTATAAATATTTTCTTATTATATATATTTTAATATATTCACAATTCAAGCGTTATATTTATTGAATTAAAATAACTTCATTTATATTGTTTTTTTTTTTTTTAATTTAGGCTTTTATTTTCATTTCAAATCGTCTTCCATGGTTTTGCTTTGAATTTCTTTTTTTTCTTTAATTTTTGTTTTGTTTACAAGTTTGTCTGGGTGTGTGCGTGTGTGTGACCAACTTTTGTTTTATTTTCATTTCATTTCTTTGACTCCCCAATGTGTTGTTGCTGTTGTTGTTTGTTGGGTTACGTTGTGTGTGTGTGTTCACGCTTTGGTCTTAAGAAAGTTGTGCGTTTAAAATCTCGTTTGTTTTTTTTTTCGGTGTTAGCTTTCAAAGCGCGCGCTCTAATTTCTCTTCGTCCCCCATTTCTTTCTTTTTTTTTTTACAACGTCATTATTAGCATTTTTGGTTGGCGTTAGCATGGCATGGCATGGCTCACTGGCTGGCATGCTTTTTTTCGAAACCGAGTTTTCATTTTCATTTGACCTGGTTTGCTTTCCAATGCTTTTCAAGCCGGCTTGCCTTCTTGCCTGCCTGCCTGCTGTGCTATGCTGTGTGTGGTGTAGCGCTTGAAGAAAAGTGTGTCAGTAGTAACATCAACAGCAGCAGCAGCATAGAAAGATATTTGAAAGCTAGACATGGCTTCAAAAAAAGAGAGATTTCCTCTCACTTTATATGAATATTATTGGGTCTTTGTTGTTGTTGTTGTTGTTAAATGTTTATTGATATCAAACAAACCCAGAAATGTGTTCAAATGTTTCTTTTTTTTTCTTTCTTTCTTCTTTCTATTCTTTGTTATAATTGCCTAGAAGTGGTCGATGATGATGGCCATGATGTTGATGATGGCGTTTTGACGATCATCTCTCTAATGAAAAGAGAAATTTCAATTGGTGTCAGTTTTAACACTAATTTTAGGTTAGCCATGTTAATAAAATAAACACAAGAAAAAAATAATCAAAGTATTTTAAGAGAGAGGTGGAGAGAGAGGGGGGATAGGGGCGGGGAAAAAATGGGCCAAGATTTGACTTTTTTATTATTTTTTTATTTTTAATTATTTTATTTATTTCCATAACTGTGTCACTCAAAACCGCTTAACCTTTGGGCAATTTGTTGTCACCTATCAAAATTTTCTAAGCCATGATATTTACTTTCTTTTTGGCCTCATTTTGGGGGCTCAAGCCCGACACCCCAGAAAAAGAAGAAAATGCTTAACAAGATGAAATGTAAATAAATTAATGTAAAACAACAGCTGTTGTTGTTGTCTAGAAAACCACATTTTTTTCTTTGAAGATAAAAAAAAACAGAAAATAAAATAAAAAATTGTATTGAAGTAAGGCCCCCCCCTCCAACTTTATTTTTGACAACTTACAAGCGAATAAAAAAGCGGCTCGGTAATTCTGGGTCATGACCCCGCTTTTTTCCCCAGCTAGATATGGTAATGTTGGGCCCTTTTCACCACGAAAAACGTGACAGACATTTGGTGGGTGAGATTTAATGTTTTTAAAAAATTAAAAAAAAAAAAATTCAGGCAAACAAAAGAGAAAGTGTAACATTTAGGTTTTTTTGTTATTTTTTCGCCATTCATTCAGGTAGGCCAAACTATGAGACCCAATCGCTCGCTGAGTGTGTGTGTTTGTGTCTCGATTTTAATGGCAATGACAGCTGCTAAGTTTACATTACGCTTGCATTTTATTGTAAGCAAAACGCGTCTGCTCATGCTTTTCGAAACGACAACAAGGCAATGACCTACTTAAAGGGCCTTCCACCACACAAAACACTCAGAGACACACACACACAGACACTGAGGCAGAAAATGAAAAATAAAACAGCAGTAGGCACAAGAGGGCCATTAAAAAACGTGCAGCTCTCGGTAACATGACAAAAACGTTTTTTTGTTTAAAGCGGGGCGACAGACCAAGACCAAGACCCCTTTACAGACTTCCTGTTTAACCTTAATTTTTTTTGGATCATTTTTTTTGTCTCTTCTACGAAAAGGGGTTAATTTTTACAGCTGTTGTTGTTTTTTTTTTTATTTATTTTTACAAAAATTACACCTGTTTCCAATAATTTTACTAATTTAATATTCCTTATTTTTTCTTCTCATTTTAGCTGTGCGATTTGGTCGCGTGCCGAAACGTGAAAAGGCTCGCATATTGGCCGCCATGCAACAGTCCACACAAAATCGTGGCCAGCAAAGAGCTTTGGCCTCTGAATTGGATGACCAGCCTCGTCTCCTGTCGGCTGTGCTAAGGGCCCATTTGGATACCTGCGAGTTTACCAAAGAAAAGGTAGCCGCCATGCGCCAAAGAGCCCGTGAATGTCCTTCCTATTCAATGCCAACATTATTGGTAAGTTAAATAACATTAATCTCCAAAATCTCTAAAAAAAAACGCCACAAAGACAATAAATGGACAAGGTCAACATGATTTGTGCTATAATTAACATATTATAATTAGGTTTTGTGGCCAACCAGCCAACCAGCTGACCAAAAGCCAAAAGGTGTTAAACATACAATTAGAGTTGTAGCTCAGTTAAGGTCTTTAAACCAGGAAATTGTCAAGATTTTTCTTCAATGAAAACCAATAGCTACAGCCACAGTCATAAAATGCAAACAACAGCAATGGCAACAGATAACACAATAGGCAAGGTTTTTCCTAGTTTCAAGACAAATTCATAGCTAATAAATAAAAAAAAAAAAACTATATAATAAATTAAAGTTCTCTTGGTCTTCAAGAGCACTGCAATTTCAATAAAAAATATTAAAGGAAAATAAAAAATTAAGAAAGTTGGACAAACAGTTAGATTAGATGCAAGTGGCGCCCAACGTGGATTCCTGAGATATATTCTTTGCCAAGAAAAATCATTTGTTTATTTAAAAATAGAATAAAAGGGTCTCTAGGGCATTACATCGGCAGTAAAATCCCACAATAATTTTGACAAAAAAAAAAAAAAAAAAAAAAAAAAAAAAAAACAAAAAAAAAACAAAATTAAAAAAATTAAAAATAGAAAAAATGGCGCCCAACGTAATTTCCAATACCTCTGGTTATTATAAAATTTACATTGCTTGAAACTGCAAAAAATATTCAAAAATACAATATTAAAAAACATTGAAAAACTTTAAAAATAATTGAAAAGTGGCGCCCAACGTGGGTCCCCATGAAACACATGTGTATAAAAATGACTTTTATCAATATTGCAAAAAATATTAAAAAATACAAAATTAGAACAATTAAAAAATCTTTAAATATTGATCAAAGTGGCGCCCAACGCGAGGACCCATGCATCTTATTTTCATAAAATTTACATTACTTGAAATTACAAAAAATATTTTAAAATACAAAATTAAAAAACATTGAAAAATTTTAAAAATAAATTAAAGTGGCGCCCAACGTGGGTCGCCATGAAACCCGTGTGCATGGAAATGACTTTTATCAAAACTGCAAAAAATAATCAAAAATACAAATTAGAAAAAATAAAAAATCCTTAAATATTTATCAAAGTGGCGCCCAATGTGAGTCCCCACGAAACTGATAAAAATAAACTGATACAAATTAGGTTTATTGAAATTGCGGTAAAATAATCAAAAATACAAAATTAAGAACTATTTATAAACTTGAAAAAATCTGAAAATGGCGCCCAATGTGGGGACCCATGGAATTAAATTTCAAAAAATTTACATTTTTTCGAATGACAAAAAATTATCAAAAATACAAAATTAAAAAATATTATCAAACTTGAAAAACGAAAAAAAGTGGCGCCCAACGTGGGACGCCATAGTCCTCGTTTTTTTTACAAAAAATGCGTTCAACGAAATCTAGAAAGACAAATTAATAATACAAAATTCGAAAAGACATCATTTATTAAAATTTAAATAAAAGTGGCGCCCAATGTGGATCTCAAATTCTTTCATTAAAAACCAAAATATCGAATTTCTGGGTCCCCAAGCCCCTCTTGTTGTTAAAATACATGTTTTGGATTTTAAACCAAAAGAAAAAAATGAAATTACACTATTTTAAAAAAGTGGCGCCCAATCAGTGGCATTTATTTTAGCTACTGCTTTCCTTGTTTTGGATGCTAATTATTACTTTAAAAAAAAAATGAAATTCTTATTTTTTTGCTGTGTCAGGTTTCTTGATAATTCAATCCTCTTAAAATAAGATTAATGGCTTATGGCTAATGCCTCCTCAACCTCCCTCGCCTGAAACAATTTTCAATCATCAATTTTGATTTTATTGTTCAGAGGGCAAAATGTTGTTGCCAAGAACTGCTGCGCGTCTCTTTTTTTTTTCTTCTCATTTCAATCTTCTTTTATTTTTTTTTTGTTCTTTAAAAAAAACATTTTTGATTGTTTCGCTGTTATTGTTGTTGTTGTATACTAAAATTCAAGGTTAAAAAATAACACCCGCCAAGGTCGTTTCTGTTGCGTTCTTTCAGAACAAAAGCAGAAAAAAAAAGACTACACAAAAATAAAATCTAAAATAACAACAACAAGAACATAATATTCATTCCATATTGACTACTACGTAGCGGCAAACAAGATTTTTTTTTGTTAGATTAATTAAGTTTTTTGGGGATTTTTTTTTTCGAAAAAGTTGATTAGAATTCTTGGGAATTTGCAGAGTCAAGTGCTTGCATTCAAGGTGATGGCATGGGGGGTTTTGTGTGGTAAGGTATGAAAATGAACAAAATTCCTAGATTTTCTTTTGAAACAAAGAAAAATGTTCCTACATTTTAGGAATTAGTTCATAATATTAAATATATGTTCATATATTTAGGAAATGTATGTTTTCTTGTGCAGAAAAAATATCCGAAATATTTTATGAACTTTTTAATAATTTATAGTATTTTATTCTTTTTACTTAGGAACTCATTTCCTAATGGTTTTTCTTTATTAAATTTTCTCATTAATTGTTATTAACAATTTTTTCCGTATTACAAATTCAAACACATGCACGCACACACACTCTCGCTCGCCCAGAAGAGACCTCGTGTTAATTTGTACTTGACTTTGACATTTGCTCGAATATTTAATGCCAGCAACAACAACAACAATAAAACAAAAACACACACGAGTATTGTGATTGCTGATAATTAAAATATGAAAGTAAATACTAAATTTGTTTTCATATTTAAATTGGAGACAACAGAACTTTGGCTGAGAGAATGCCGCCGCTGCTGCTGCGACTCTAGCTTAGAAATTTCGTGGCGATGACTAAAGCATTTGAAACAAAGGCAAAAGCAAAAAGACACAATCAAGCAGCAGTAAACCAATAATGCAAAAAAATAATAATGACAAAGTATTTTTTTGTTGTTGTTATTTTTTTTTTTTTTTTTGATTAATACAAAAACAATAAACAGCCACACTCAGGTGGTGGCGAGGGCCGTAGCCAGGGCTTATCATGCAAATATAAAATGCGACAACAAATAACAGCTAAATAATATTTAACAAAAAAGCAAAAAAAGTGACGTTCTAGCTGACCTTGTCTAAAATGAAATTTTATTGTTTTTTATTATTTTTATTGTTGTTTTTGTTGTTGCTGGTTGCGTGTGTGTTGTTCTTTTTGTTCTATTCCTTTCCTGAAAACAAAAAAAAATGCGAAACAGTATTAGAACCTGGAAAACATGTTTATAATTAGGCTAGAAAGAAAACCAACAACAAGAATGGGAATAAGAAGAAGAAATTAGATAAGAAATTTATATATGATAAAAAAAATAATATAATAAATTAAGGGGAATACATAACAATTGAAAGTTGAAATGATAATAACAATATAATAAATTATTTTTTTGTTAATTTTTTTTTGCGAAATAAAATTAAAAATTTCGGAAATTAATTTAAAGGAATTTAAGATATTATTCCAAGTCGGAAATAAAAATTTTCGTAATTTGTTAAAAAAAAAAAAAAAAATAAATAAATAAAAATTTCCCAATTTGTTCCATTAAAAACAATTAAAAATTCCCTAAATTTGGCAAAATGGGAAAATATAAACATTCAAATAGTTACAAATATTTTTCTACACCGAAAACACAAATTTCCCTGATTTTTTCCCATATTTTTGCAAAAATTAAAAATTTCCCCAAAATTTCCCAAAAGGGATATTTTTATTTTTTCCTACCAAATGCTTTAGTTTTTGATATAAAACTCTAAAATGTAAGAAATTTTCCAAAATTCCCATAAACAAAAATTTCCCTCCTTGGGAAATTTTTAAAATCCCCTTAAATTTAAAACTTCTTATATATTCTTGATTAATTTTAACAAATAAACTCATTACCATTGAAAACAAAAATTTCCCAAAAAATATCCCAAGAGGGAAATTTTGATTTTTTCATCCCAAATGTTTTGGGTTTTCGTATAGATCCCTGATATGCAAGAATTTTTCAAAAATTCACATAAACAACAAATTTCCCTTCATGGGAAATTTTAATTAAAGCTTATTTTTTGTTGTTTTATTAAATTTTAATTAAAACATTAGAAAATCATTACTTCATTCAAATTTGTATCAAAAATGGAATTAAAAAATAAAATTTTTCCCTATTTGGGTATTTTTGTATTTTTTGCAACTTGGCAACCCTACTCATTTTTCCAATTGCTACAAAATTCCTCATCATTCCTTAAAACTACATTAGGAAACAAATATTTCCATTTTATAGACATAATTTTTGCATTTGTGTTGATGTGGCAACCCTATTCTCATAACCTTATTTCCTTTCAATTATTCAAGTATTTTTCCTCGTTGGGAATTTGTAATTTTTTGCCATTTGGTCAACAAATATCCACAAGGATAATCAAATTTAATTTGAAATTTTAAAAAATCCCATTGTATGGTATTTTTTTAATTTATGTCATATGGCAACCCTATTTCATTTCAGTTTTGCAAAAAAAAAAACACTTTTAACGAAATCTGGAAAAACAAATTATAAATACAAAATTCGAAAAAAAATCATTCATAAAAATTATAAATGTATGTGGCGCCCAACGTGGGTCTGCAAGTCTCTCATTTTGATGAAATTCTCATTTATGGGTCTCCAAGTCTCTCATTTTTGAAGGTTGCTTTTACGGACTTGATTCAAGTTTATTTCATTTTTGAAATTGACTATTTTTATAAAGTGGCGCCCAAGGTGGTTCCACTTTTTTTTATTAATCCAGGTGGTTGTGTCAGTTATCACATATTTTTTTTGAAAATTTTGAAAAATAATTTCTTAAAAAAATATTTCCCTTTTGGTCCTCTTAAATTTGCAATTTGGCAATCCTGTTTTAGTTTATTTTTAATTATTCTTGGAATAAATAAATAAATCCGTTTAATTCTCTCAAAAATATTTTTTTCATATGTTTAATTTTTAATTATATGGCAACCCTGCAACCTTATTTTTGTATATCCGGTTGTCTACGGCCTTTTGCATACCGGTCGGTTGGTCACTCACTTAAATATATGTATGTACCTAGAGGATATACATATTATAATGCCGGCAATTTGCACTTGACCAAGGCTATGCAAGAACACGAAAAAAAAAACATACCCAACAACCTTCCTACCCATGCCCACCAGACACACACACACACACTCGCTCACTCACTCACCTTTTGCAAATACAACAACGACAACAATCTACCATAGTTTGGCCTTCGTCATTATCATTACTCATGGTAACTGTAGTCGGCACTCACATACGGTCTCTTCTTCTCTTCCAGTATGTGTGTGTGTTTCTCAAAGAGAAGAGAACCTAAAAATAGTGAGGAGGCCCCACTACTACTTTTTTGTTGTTGTTTTATGAGAGGTTATGTGTGAGAAAAATGCCTTAGGAGAGCAAGAAAAACATCAACGAGCATGTGTGTGTGTTTGAAATCTGTACTAAATATTTAAACAATAAAAACAGATATTTTTTCAAGGTTAATAATAAATACCTACTTGTTGTTATTGTTGTTGTTGTTTGCGGCTGTTCTATTTTCTGTCATAGTATTAGACGACAGCAAAAACAAAATGACGTTAAACATTCTAAAAAAACTAGAAAAAAAAAATCGTAGCTATTTTTTCGTTGTTGTTGTTGCTGTTGTCATTTACAACTAACATGCTGCCAAGTGTGTAGGAAAACCGGAAAGAACATTTGCTATTGCTTTGAGAGAAAAAAAAAAAAAAAACGAAGGGGGTTTGCCACCTTGAACTTTTAGGTTATTAACCTTGACTTTAGAAAAATTTAAATTGAAAAGCTGTTAAACCCCTCCCTCCCATACCTCAACCCCACCTGGTATTTAAAAATAACCCTGAGCTTTTCCTCATTGATTTTTGCTTCCAAATACAAATAATAATAATAATTTTTATTGGCCTCAAATCAAATGCTTTTCCTGTTGACCTTCGCGTGAACTTTTCTATTTCACAACTAACGGGAGGTGTTTCATTGCAAAACCTCAAGCACATGTGTGGGAGGGAGGCAGGGGTGTGTACATGCTCATTATTAATTTCCTTAAAACATGCAAGGTTTTTCCGCACAAATCAGCAGCAGTAGCGACACCACATGACTTGACTTTTCACAACAATTCTAGCTAATAACGCAATTAATAATAATTCTCTCTTTCTCATTGCAGGCCTGTCCCCTCAATCCCGCCCCCGAATTACAATCAGAACAGGAATTCTCCCAGCGTTTTGCCCATGTCATACGTGGCGTCATTGATTTCGCCGGCATGATACCCGGCTTCCAGCTGCTCTCACAGGACGACAAATTCACTCTCCTCAAGGCCGGTCTCTTCGATGCTCTGTTCGTGCGCCTCATCTGCATGTTCGATAATTCCATCAACAGCATTATCTGCCTGAATGGCCAAGTTATGCGTCGTGATGCCATACAAAATGGTGCCAATGCCCGTTTCCTGGTCGATTCCACGTTCAATTTTGCGGAACGCATGAACTCCATGAATCTGACAGATGCCGAGATTGGCTTGTTCTGCGCCATTGTCTTGATCACACCCGATCGGCCGGGTCTGCGCAACATTGAGTTGATCGAACGCATGTACAATCGTTTGAAGGGCTGCCTCCAGACCATCATTAATCAGAATCGTCCTGACCAGCCGGATTTCATGAGCAAACTCTTGGAAACCATGCCCGATTTGCGCACCCTGAGCACTCTGCACACCGAAAAGTTGGTGGTGTTCCGCACCGAACACAAGGAGTTGTTGCGCCAACAAATGTGGTCCATGGAAGAGGATCAACAGGTGTTGTCCAAGAGTCCCAATGGCTGGGATGATCATCGCATGGATGTTGAGGCCAAGAGCCCGTTGGGTTCGGTCTCCAGCACAGAGTCGGGAGATTTGGAATATCAAATTTCCTCCACCACCACCAGCAGCAGCGGCGGTGTGGTCAGTGCACCCCATCACCTCAGTCATCATGGCAGCCAACAGACCTCCTCATTGGCCTCCTCGGCCCCCTTGCTGGCTGCCACACTGTCCGGCACCTGCCCCCTGCGCAATCGTGCCAATTCAGGTTCGTCGGGAGATTCTACCAATGAACTGGACATTGTGGGCTCCCATGCCCATTTGACCCAGAATGGTTTGACAATCACACCCATTGTTCGGGCCCATTCCCACCAACAGCTGCATCATCATCTGACCAGTGCTCCGGCCCAGCATCGTTATCGCAAGTTGGACTCCCCCACCGATTCGGGTATTGAATCGGGTAACGAGAAGACAGAGTGTGGTGGCAAGACCGTGAGCTCCGGTGGTTCCTCCTCTTGCTCCAGTCCGCGTTCCAGTGTTGATGATGCTCTCGATTGCAGTGAGAACTCGGCGGCGGCAGCAGCAGCAGCAGCGGCGGCAGCCGTGGCCAGCAGTACCCAGGTAACGGTTTCTGTTTCACCGGTGCGCTCACCGCAGCCCATGTCCGCAGCAGCCACCTCAACGTCCAACTCGTCAACATCTCCCTCCACAATGGGCGCCTCGGGTGCCACTTTGAAGCGGCAAATTGTCGATGACATGCCGGTGCTGAAAAGAGTGCTGCAGGCTCCGCCACTCTACGATACCAACTCGCTGATGGATGAGGCCTACAAGCCGCACAAGAAATTCCGGGCCCTGCGTCATAGGGAATTCGAGGGCGCCGAGGCAGATGCCACTAGCTCCACCAATCCAGCAACGTCCTCGTCCTCATCATCATCGAGCATACCTGCCGCAGCATCCAGCCCTCAATTGGCTGCGGGTAACCAAAGTCCACCACCTGCGGCCAGCAACTCCACAAATTCCGCTGGCCAAAGCCAGGTGCTTATTGTGCCACAAGCCACGCATTCCCCCCAGCCCACATCGTTTGTGGCGGCCAGTTCCCCGCCAGCCATTGCGGCCCAGCATCAGAGTCAGCTGCATATGCACTTGACCCGGCCCACTCCCACCAATTCCAACAGTGGGGCCCATCATCAGCAACAGCAGCCCTCATCGTTGTCCAGTACCCATTCCGTGTTGGCCAAGTCTTTGATGGCCGAGCCCAGAATGACGCCCGAGCAGATGAAACGTTCCGACATCATACAAAACTATATTATGCGGGAGTCTAGCTCGACGAACTTGATGGCCTGTTCCCCACATGGTCCAGGCAGTCGCAGTCCGGCCCCAGGGGCTGTGCATGGTCTACATGCTTTGTATGGAGCCAGCAATTCGCCCAGTAGCTCTCCAAACTCCAATTGCAATTCTCCCTCGACCACAACTGTGACGGCCTTGGCCTCACCGCCCGTCAATGGGGCCGGCCGCTGGGCAGGACATTCCGTTATTACCACCACAACGATAAACCAACGCCAGCAGTCGGTGTCGCCCAGCAGCAATGGTTCATCATCATCCTCCACCTCATCATCAGCCTCCTCATCGTCAGCATCGTCCTCGTCGGCGGGTTGCCAGTATTTCCAATCACCGCACTCCACCTCGGCCTCGGTGTCACCGCCCCGGCCCTCACCGTCGGCCATGAACACACCGCCACGTCTGCTAGAGTTGCAGGTTGACATTGCCGATTCCCAGCAGCCGTTGAATTTGTCCAAGAAATCACCCACACCACCTCCCAGTAAATTGCAGGCTTTGGTGGCGGCGGCCACAGCGGCTCAACGTTATCCCACAGTGTCGGCTGATGTTACCGTGACGGCCAGCAGTGGAGGTGCCGTGGCCACGGCGGCGGTGGCGGCAGCCGCCAGCAGTAGTGCAGCGGCCCATCAGCAGGTGCAGAAGGTTATGTTGGAAGCGTAAGTGGGGAAAGAGAAATGTTCTCAAATCATGTTGAGATTTAGTAGATCTTGATAGAGAGCAAGTGAGAGAGAGAGAAAGTGAGAGAGGGAAAGTAAGAGATTTTGTTTCTATGATAAAAAGAGAGGAATTGTTTCTTTTTTTTTTTGTAACAGTATTTTTTTGGGAGACAAAATACTTTCTCAGCTCTTTTCCTCCCCCTCAACACTCCCCAGCAGCCTGGTGTAAATTTTGATTGTTTCCGTGTAAATTTTTTCTTCTGTGTGTAAAAAAAGCTACTTGAAAAAAAAATATTTTAAGAATATTTAAAACACAATTCAAAATGATCGAGACTGATGCAAAAACAAACAAACAAAAACACAACTTTGCAAAATAAGAAATACAAAAACAAAAAAAACAAACAAAGAAGTTTTAAGAAAATCATAGAGTAAATGAGGAGTAATCCTGGAGATGATGATGAAGGCAGCCAATCAATACAAAACAAACACAATAAACCATTTCCTTAAATAAAAACATCCAAATACAGGGGCGGGCAATTAGAAAAAAAATTGAAATAATTTTTTTGATTTTTTTCATTTGCTGTTATTGTAAAAAAAAACCCCAAATTTAATGCTAATGATTATATATATAAAAAAATTAAATTATTTAAAAAAAAAAACAACAGAAAACTGTACAAAAAATTATGCATGCAATTATGTGAAATAAATAAAAAAAGTCCTTTTTTTAAATTTAAAAAAAAAATTATTAAAAAAATACCACTTATAATTATAAGCTTGAATTAAAAAAAAAAATTGTATTTAAAAAAAAATATTGAAAAAAAATTACACACACACAAATTTGAAAAACAAACCTGTATTAAATGAAACCATTTTTTTTTAAATTGTAATAATTTAAAAACAACACAAACAAAAACAATTTTAATTCTTACTTAACCCCTGTTAAATATATTTTAAAAATAAGTAAAAAAAAAAACAAAACAAATAGAAATTCGGCTAGAAGCCAGAACTTTTCAAGAAGAGAACTAATTTCCTGGAGATTTTAATTAAAAAAAAAACAATTTTCCCCCCCACATGGGGGAAAATGTTGGAAATTTTCCTTAATAAAAATTTTCTTGGAAAAAGAGAAAGAAAAACTACCAAGAACTCTGCGAGTTTTAAAAAAATGATTACTATGATTTATTAATATTTTATATTTATGATGATGATGATGATGATTTTTGCTTTACAAAGAAAGTGGCAGTTGTTACAAAGAAAACGGAAAAATATACTATATTTTATAAAAAAAATAATAATAATAACTATATTAAGCTATACATAAAATACATACTATATATATACTATATATACATTACTCTTTTTGTTTTTGCAGTTATAATTATTATTATTTTGATTATTATTATTATTATTGATTACAATTTGTTTTTATGTATTTAATTCTTTAAATTTAACTAAAAGATAAAACCAACCCCCCCCCTAAAAAACCACAACAACAAAAAAAAATTATAATTATTATTTAATTTTAGTTATGATATTTTAATAAGCCTAATTTTAAGTTTTTATTTTTAACTAGTTCTATAAAACAAAACAACAAAAAAGATATTTTCCATTTCACTAAAGAAATAAACAGAAAAACAATTTTTTTAAAAACAAAACAAACCACTACTTTTTTTTCTTTTATTTGTTTTTTGAATTAATTTCATTTATGTTTTTGAGTTAAGGGTAATCCCCCCACCCCAAAAAAGAAAAAAAAACAAAGCAAATGGAAACAAGATTATGAGATCTCCCCCACCCTTTAGGCGCAAACCCACTTTTCTTTCCCGGCAGTTGTAAATATTTTTGTAAAGTTTTTTTCTCTCCTTTTTTTAATTTTAGAGTTTTTTAATTTAAACCGCAACCCACTAATTATTGTAATTTTTTTTTGTTAATTTTAAGTTTTAATTATTAATTATATTTTTTAGAAAACCAACAAGAAAGAAAATCCTAAAAAAATCTACAAAGAAAACAACAATGGAAAACATTTTTATCCTACCAATAAAAACATTTTTTTGTTTAAAAAAAATAATTTACAAAAGTTTTTGGTTTTTTTATTTATTTTATTTTGGGTTTGGTTATCTTTTTTGGGTTTGGTTACGACTCTTCTGTTCAGTATGTTTTTCCATTTTTCTTTTTTGGTAAAAACTGCCACTGAAACAATGAAGAAAACAAAATTTGAAATTAATTGAAAAAAAAAAAAACAAAATCTCACAGGGAATGCGAGAAGAGGAAAAGAAAAATTTCTCTATTTTCGAATTTTCTGGGAAATAAAATCAAGAAATATGGGCTAATAACGGAACATGGGTTCATGAAAAGGGGCTTCGTAACCAGCTGAATGTGAAGATCAAGGTGTCTCAATTATTCATAGAAGGTCGAAAGTTCTCGAAAAGTCCAGAGGTTCCGTTCCGCCTACATTGGACGAAGGAAGGTAAAAACTGCCACAGAAACAATGAAGAAAACTAAATCGTTATCTCAGAAACTTTTTCAGATAAATTGAAAAAATAAATAAATCTCACAGGAAGAGGAAAAGGGAAGTTTCTTTATTTTCGTATTCTCTTGGAAATGAAATCAAAGAAATATGGGCTAATAACGAAACATGGGTTAAAAAAAAAAAAAAAAAACAATAACAACAACAAATAAGAAAACGAGCTTCATAACCAGCCAAACATGACGATCAAGAAGTTGTAAGATGTTCATAGCAGATTGAAAGTTCTTTAAAAGTCTAGAGCCTACGTTTCTCCTTCTATGGACGGGGAAAGGTATAGACGTCATTGATGGGACATATGAGACATTAAGGCCTTCTAAGGACTCTCGAAGGCCTAACCCTATTTTGTAATTAGAAGAAGAAGAAGACTTGGATGTCTTCTCTGGCCAAAAGAAGACTCGGAGGTCTTCTATGAATTATATAAGTCCCAGAGGTCTTCTATGCCTTATAGAATACCTGGAGGTCTTCTACAGCTTATTCAAGGCCTAAAGACCTCCTGTGGCTCATAGAAGACGAAGGGGTCTTCTAGGGCTTCAAGAAGACCAAGAAGACTTGAAAGAAGATTTGAAAGTCTTTTAAGGCTTATAGATGAGGTGGTAGTCTCCCATGACTTATAGAAGACCTGGAGGTCTTATAGAAAACCTAAAGGTCTTCTGTGGCTCATAGAAGACCAAGAGATCTTCTGCGGCTTATAGAAGACCTGGAGTTCTTCCATAGCTTCTAGAAGGTCTGTAAATTTTATGTGCCTCGGAGTAGACGTGGAAGTCTTCTATGGCTTATATAAGCCTTAGAGGTCTTATATGGCTTATAGAAGACCTAAAAGTCTTCTATGGCTTCTTGAAGGCCTGTAGATCTTATATGCTTTAGAGAAGAGCTGGAAGTCTTCTATGGATTAGAGAAGACCTGGAGGTTTTCTAAGGCTTGTAGAAGACATCTGGGTCTTCTGTGGTTTATAGATGACCTGGAGGTCGACTACAGTTTATAAAAGCTCCGGAGGTCTTCAGGGACTTATAAAAGACATGGAGGTCTTATATGGCTTATAGAAGCCCTGGAGGTCTTCTTTGGCTTATAGAAGACCCATAGGTCTTCTATGACTTATAGAAGAGGAGATGAATGTCTTCTATTGCTTTTAAAAACTTGGAATTCCTCTAAGGCTTATAGAAGACCCTTAGGTCTTTTATGGCTTATGGAAGACTCAAAGGTCTTCAATGGCTTACAGAAGACCTAGAGGTCTTGTATGGCTTATAGGAGACGTAGAGGTCTTTTATGGATTATAGGAGACCTAGATGTCTTATAGAAGACCTGGAGAATTCTGTGGCATATAAATTACATTGACATCATCTATGGCTTATAGAAGACCTGGAGGTCTTCTATGGCTTATAGAAGGCCTAGAGGTCGTATATGGCTTTTTTAAGACCCAGAGGCCTTCTATGCCTTATATACATCCTGTTGGTCTTCTGTCTTCTATGGCTAAATAAAAACACATAGACCTTCAATGGCTTAAGGATGATCTCTAGGTCTTATATGGCGTACGGAAGACCCGGAAGGCTTCCATTACTTATGGAAGAGCTGAATATCTTCTATGGCCTATATCAGACCTAGAGATCTTCTATGGCTCATAGAAGACAGATAGGTGTTCTAGGGTTTATAGAAGACCTGAAGGTGTTGTAGGGCTTATAGAATACCTGGAGGTTTTTATAAATCCTCTTTAACTTTTAGAAGACCTGGAGGTTTTCCTGTTGGTCTTCTGTGGACCCTATGGTCTTCTATGGCTTAATAAAAACATATAGACCTTAAATTTATTAAGGATGATCTCTAGGTCTTATATGGCGTAGGTAAGACCCGGAAGGCTTTCATTACTTATGGAAGAGCTGAAGATCTTTTTTGGCCTATATCAGACATAGAGGTATTCTATGGCTCATAGAAGACATATATGTGTCCTAGGGTTAATGGAAGACCTGTATGTGTTCTAGGGCTTATAAAAGACCTGGAAGTTTTTTTAGATCCTCTATAACTTTTAGAAGAACTGGAGGTTGTCTGTGAAATATTAATGAGATGGACGTCTTCTATAGGTTATAGAAGCACCGGAAGTCTTCTACTTCATAGTCTCAGTTTTAAACCCTCAGCCCTATGGCTACATAGAGTATATTCTATTTGATACGGCGAACACGTGATACGAAATAATGATTCCAGACACTGAGTCTCTTTGGGCCAAATCCGTTTCAGGACATTTGCAGTCGATGCAAGGATGTCCACCTGTCCGTCTGACCGGTCCGCACAAAAGGAGTATTTGATTTGGTCCGAACTTGGTACTTCGAAATATTATTATAAAACTAAAATCGATTGTGGATATGGGCAATATCGGTCCACTTCTTCTGGTACCTCCTGCACAAAATGTTTAAATTTTCACAGAAAATAATTATTTTTTCTAATATTTTTATTAAATTTTAATATTTTTATCAAGTCTTTTTAATTTTTTTAATTTTCATTATATTAGAAAGTTCTCGTATTTTGAAAAATCCCATCATGCGTATGATGAATATTTGCAGAATTTATTTACCATACGCCCCAAAGGTGTTTGGAAATTGTGCTCTCTTCTTGAATTGTTTTTTATACAAAATGGAATATATTTAAAGGGGTTAAATGTGAGTTTATTTACAGGTATTGGAAAATATGAACCCCTAACCGGTTTAAATTTCATGGGCTTTTATTTGCAGGTGCATTTTTCAAAATAAAAAAAAAATAAAATCCCCCATTACAAACAAATTATGAGTTATATATATTCTATTATATATACGTAATTTGATGTTTATGTGTGTAAAAAAATTAAAACCAACAAAACAAATTATGTAAAGAAAACTTAAAAAATTAATGTGTACATTTGTTAAAAAAATAATAATAAAATATTAATTTAATGTAAAATTTTGAAGAAAAGCACAAAAAATTCTTTGAAAAAAACAAAGAACAAATTAAATGTAAAAACACAACAAAAAATTGAAAATATATATTAAAATTAAAAAAATGCAAAGAAATAATTTTAACAATTAAAAATTTAAAAAAAAAAATGTTTTTAAAACAGACACACACAAACAAACAGAATCTAAGATAAAAGATATTTTCTTAACAAAAAACCAAAAAGGGAAAGACAACAAATAATACATAAATATGTATATCAAAGGCATAATAAAAAAATATATAAATAATTAATATTACAAAAAATTATAATAATAAATTAAAAATACAAATTTTATGTGTATGTGTGTAATTTTGTCCGTTAACATATAAAATTAACAAAGAAAAAATATAAATATTATTATAAATAATTATTTAATAAAAAAATGAATATTAACAGCCCCCCAAAAATGAAAAAAATCCCCCTGTAAATTTTTAAAAAAGGAATGACAAACAGAATTTGAAAAATAAAACAACAAATTCCAAAAACAAACTGAAACAATGAAAATGATGACAATTTTTAACAAAAAAAAAAGAAAGATTAAACATTTAATGGCAACAACAACAAATAATTGATCAAAATATTCCAAAAAACAAGAGATTTTTTTGAATTGTAAGAAAACCAAAAAAAAAAAAAAAATGAAGAACTTAAGAAAAATAAAAATGAAACCATATTTTGTTTAACAAAACATTTGTGAATAGAAAACAAAAAACCAAAACAAAAACAGAAATCAAGAGAGTAGTAGTTGTCTTAACAAATTTTTTTGAATTGAAAAAAAAATAACAAAAAAAATTACCAAGACAAGGTTGAAGTTTGAATAACAACGGCCAAGTGGGCAGGATATGGTGTGAGCAAGTTAAAGTTCGTTGGATAAACACAAGTAATATTGAAAAAAAACTCAAAAAATTTGTTAACATTTTCTTTGGAAAAGAATCTGAATTATTTTATTTAAAGGAAGGAGGTTCTAAAGAGAAAACTCAAATAATTTACCCAAAAGA